CAGAAAGCCATCTCTTCCTCAATGCACTCTCTGTACGGGCTGGGCCTGGGTAGCCAGCAGCAGCCACAGCAGCAGCAGCAGCCATCCCAGCCGTTGCCGCCACCACAGCAGCAGCAACAGCAGAAAACCTCTGCTCTTTCTCCTAATGCCAAGGAATTTATTTTTCCTAATATTCAGGGTCAAGGTGGCAGTACTAATGGAATGTTCCCAGGTGACAGCCCCCTTAACTTCAGTACAGTAATGCCTTTGATGTACTTGAGGCCTATGGTGACCTCAACGAGAAGTCTTTTGTAGGTGGCTTGAAATTTAGCTTAAATAACGTACAGTATTCTAACCAGCAATTCCAGCCTGTTATGGCTAACTAAGAAAACAAAAAAGTGTGTCGTACCAGTTAAAATGCACGGGCAAGAGGACTTTTTTTGCACCTCCTTGAGATTTTTTTTTAATCTTATAGTAAGGATACATTCAGGCTTGGTTACAAAAATAAAACATGAATCGTTTTTCATTTGCCAACCAAGCACAAAGTTATTTTATACTGACTGTATATTTTAAAGTATACTCTCAGATATGGCCTCTTACAATATGTAAGATATAGCAAGGACATGGCTGATTTTTTTTTATAAAAAATTACCAATAATAAGTGGGTTTATTGGTCTTTTCTAATTGTGCAATTTAATTTAGTACAAAATTTGTAAAATATCAAAGGAGATATATATATATATATATATATATATATATATATATATATATATATTGTTTCTACGACATGGTATTGCATTTATATCTTTTTACTTCAGTGATCTGGGACAACAGCAGCTTCATGTTGTTTTTTTTTTTTTACTGAAATTGTAAAATATCCATCTTAAAGATATCAACTATTCTAAAAATTATGTACAAAATATTCCTTTAATGGCAGAATTAAAGTGTACAAATATTTGCTTTTTCAAAAAAATGTATTTTCTGTTAAAGGTCTAAAGATTTTTGCTATATATTATGGAAGAAAATATCGTAAATATTAATTTTGTACGTATATTGTGCAATACTTGAAAAAATGGTATAGAAGTATTTTGAGTCAGTGTCATACATGTTAAGAGGGACTGAAATAGTTTATATTAAGTTTGTTTTAAAATAAAAAAAGAACAATTAAAAACGATTAGTCTTAATTAAAAACTATTAGTCATAGGTTATTTTCTAAATGTATATTTTCTTGGTATTGGTAGACAGACCTGCTGGCACCCAGAAGCACTCTATCACTTAGCTACATACCCAGCCTTTTCATTTTTTTTTTTTTTGAGATAGGATTTCACTAAGTTGTACAGCTGAGATTGGAATGGGTTTCCCCCCAAAGTGTGTGTTTGAAAATTAATCCCCAACGAAACAGTGTTGGAAGATGGGACCTCACATTAAGCCACGAGGGTGAAGTGAATGGATTAATGTGTTATGGAAGGAATGGGTTCTTTACCATTGGAGTGGGTATCCTAGAAAAGGATGTATTCAACTCCTCTTTCTCACTCCCTTACTTTCTTTTTTGCTCTTCCATTATGGTATGATGCAGCAAGGCCCTCACCAGCTATCAGCACCTTAATACTGGACTTTCCAGCCTCCAAAACTGTGAGTTAATAAATTTTTGCTCATTATAAATTACCCAGTCTCAGATTCAGGAGCCCTGGCACACACCAGCTCAGGTGGCTGAGGAAGGTGGATCACATGTTCAAGTTCAGCCTGGGCAACCTAGCGACACCCTCACGAGGAAAAAAAAAAGTTAAGAAGCACTAGGGATGTAGCTAAGTAGTAGCGTACCCTTGGGGTTAATTCCCAGCACTGCAATAAAGTGTAGAATACTTTCAGTAATTGACCTAGTCTCAGGTATTTTGTTATAGAAGTTCATAATGGACAAGACAATCACATACATATTGTACAATTTTCTCCATCTCACCCAGGCACTGTGGAGGAAATAGAGAAGTATGAGTCATTATTCTGTCCTACAACTACTCTACACCTCCTTGGAGAGCACAGCACTTTTACTGTACATGAAGGAGATTAGCAGAAACAGAGGCAAGGACAGGGGCTCAAAGTCTTGAGAATAAAGAATGCATGACTGAGGGAAGCTCAATGGAGGACCAGGATCCAGGAGGTGAGAGCAGGGAAAAGGGGACAAGTAGTGTCCAAGGGTCCTGTAATTCCCAACAAATGACTAACCACTTGTAATAATACGAACATGTAAATAACGAATTTCTTGAGGTGGAAGTGTTTGTGTATCCTACTTATCAGCATTTGACCTCTAAGGTAACAGGTCAGACTCTTCCATGTATAATCTGTATTAATGTGATTGTTATTATATTGAAATTGAGAAACTAAATTGGAATAATCAAACTTTACTTCCTCCTCAATTATATCATTTGATTTTCTTCCTTCAGCTCCCTCTCCTTACTGCCTGTGCTAGTCTATTGGGGCTGCCATATCAGAATAACACAGAGCAGGTGGCCTATAAGTAATAATAGTGGTCAGGCATTGTGGGGCATGCCTATAATCTCAGCTACCAGGGAGTCCAAGGCAGGAGGATTGCAAGTTTGAGGCCAGTCTGGGTAATTTTGCAAGAACCTGTCTCAAAATTTAAAAATGGGGGAAAAATAAAAAGGGCTGGGAATGTAAGTGGTAAAGTGGCCCTGAGTTCAATTCCCCAGTATTGCAAAAAGGAGAGAAAGAAAAGGGTTTGGGGATGTGGATTAGTGTGGTCTAGTGCCCCTGGATTCAATCCCCAGTATCAGAGGACAAAGAAAAGCAGAAATATGTTTCTCACAGTTCTGGAGGCTGAGAAATCCAAGATCCAGGCTTTGGCAGGGTCTGGCAGATTTCTTATGAGGGCCATTTCCAGATTCATACATGTGCCTTCTTTCTATATTATCACAAGATAGATTGGCAAGAAAGGTCTTTTTTTTTTTTTTAAAGAGAGAGTGAGAGAGGGGAGAGAAAGAGAGAGAGAGAGAATATTTAATGTTTATTTTTTTAGTTCTCGGTGGACACAACATCTTTGTTGGTATGTGGTGCTGAGGATCGAACCCCGGCCGCACGCATGCCAGGCGAGCGCGCTACCGCTTGAGCCACATCCCCAGCCCAAGAAAGGTCTTTTATAAGGGCATTAATCCAATGAATGAGGGTTTTGCCTCTCAAATGTACCACCTGCAAATACCATCTGTTGATGATTACATTTCAACATTTGACTTTGGGGGTATACATTTAGACCACATAGCACAGTGCTCTCCTGATTCCTAGAGCACTGCCCACCTCCTCACCAGAGCATACTGCCTGATGTTCAAATTTTTTCTAGATGGTAGGTTTAGCATTGCTCCCACAAGGCCCATGCTCATTCATTTTTGTCACTTTTTGTTATGTCCCCTCTCCAGGAAGAACACCATAGACCTGGACTTATGGAAAGAGGCAAAATGTGTGCTAATGAGCTGGCCATGGTAGCTCACACCTACAATCCCAGAGGCTCAGGAGGCTGAGGCAGGAGGATTTCAAGTTCAAAGCCAGCCTCAGCAATTTAATGAGGCCTTAAGGAACTTAGTGAGACCCTATCTCAAAATTAAAAAATAAAAATAAAAAGGGCTGGGATGTGGCTCAGTGGTTAAGTGCCCTGGGTTCAATCCTCAGTACAAAAACAAAATGAAAATCTGTGCTAAGAGAGACTATGGGTGTTTGTGGGAACCTTTGGAATGTATCATGAGCATTTTTTTTTTTTGCAGTGATGGATATGAAACCCAGTGCCTTGCTTATGCTGGACAAGTGCTGTACCATCATGAGCAATACACCAAGTCCACATACCCAGTCCCATTCACACATTCATTTATTTACTCATTCAACACCTTCTTCTTCCTCCTCTTCCTTCCCTTCCTTCTCCTATTCTGCTTCTTTCTGATTTGTATTGGGTATTGAACTCAGGGGTATTTTACCACTGAGATACATCCCCAACCCTTTTTATTTTAATTTTTAAATTTGAGATGGGGTCTTGCTAAGTTGTTGAGGCTGTTCTTGAACCTGTGATCCTCCTGTCTCAGGTTCCTGAATCACTGGGATAACCAGTGTGCACCTCTGCATCTTGTTTAACTATATTAAATTAAATCTATCTACCTATATTTTTTATTACTTATTTGGTACTGGGATTGAACCCAGGGGTGCTTGACCACAGCTGTATTCCCAGTTCTCTCTCTCTCTCTCTCTCTCTTTCTCTCTCTCTCTCTCTCTCTCTCTCTCTGTCTCTCTCTCCTGCTTAACCTCTGTGCCACTGTGCCACATCCCCAGTTTTTTTTTTTTTAATTTTGAAACAGACTCTCACTAAATTCATGAGGCTGGCCTTGAATTTGGCAATCCTCTCACCCCAGCCTCCCAAATTGCTGGGATTACAGGCATACACCACTGTGCTCAGGCCCAGTTCTTTTAATTTTGAGGCAGTGTTTTGCTAAGTGGCTGATAGGCTCAGTAAATTGGTGAGGCTGGCCTTGAACTTGATGATCTTTCTGCCTCAGTCTTGCAAATTGCTGGGATTATAGGCATGAGCCACTATGCCTGGCCTAGTTTAACTTTTTTTGGGGGAGGGAAGCAACCCAGGATTGAACTCAGGGGAACTCAACCACTGAGCCAAATCCCCAGCCCTATTTGAGTTACTTAGTGCCTTGCTGTTGCTGAGGCTGGCTTTGAACTCTTGATCCTCCTGCCTCAGGGACCTGAGCCATTGATAATACAGGTGTGCACCCCCATGCGCAGCTGGTTTGACTGTATTTATTTTTTTTTTAGAGAAAATATTTTTTTTAATATTTATTTTCCAGTTTAAAATTTTTTTTAATATTTATTTTCCAGTTTTCGGTGGACACAACATCTTTATTTTTATGTGGTGCTGAGGATCGAACCCAGCGCCCCGAGCATGCCAGGCAAGCGTGTTACCGCTTGAGCCACATCCCCAGCCCTTGACTGTATTTTAAAAGACACAATTCCAGCCGGTTGTGGTGGCTCATATCTGTAATCCCAGTGGCACAGGAGCCTGAGACAGGAGGATTGCGAGTTCAAAGCCAGCCTCAGAAATGGTGAGGCACTCAGCAACTAAAGAAAATATAAAGCAGGGCTGGGATGTGCCTCAGTGGTTGAGTGCCCCTGGGTTCAATCCCCAGAACAAAAAAAAAACCCCACAATTCCATAGCAGTATCTTTAGAATGAGAAGGGTTATTAACTGAATTGAGTTTATATTCATTTTGGAGCCAAGTAATAACAAATGTCTGGTAGCTGGACATGGTGACACACACCTGTAATTTCAGCAATTCAGGAGGCTGAGGCAGGAAGACTATATATTCATGGTCAATTTTGGCAATTTAATGAGACTTTGTCTCAAAATAGAAAATAATGAGGCCTTAGGGGTGAATCTTATTGGTAGAGTGCCCCTGGGTGCAACCCCCAATATTGTAAAAGAAAAAAAAATATTGGCTGGTGACCAGTCCATCTTCCTTACTAGATAGAGGCTCTGTAAGGCTGCTGTTCTTCCTATGTTATTTAGCACAGGGCTGAACTCTGTGCCTGGGAATAATTGTCACTCAAGATATTTGTTGATGCCTGGAGTGGTGTTGCACATCTGTAATTCTAGTGATGAAGGAGGCCGA